GATAGAAAGTGATTAGTTATATAATTAAGTTGAATCTAAGAGAAGTGATTGGTTGTAGGAATCATGTGCATTAAGTGAAAGGATTGAAACATTTCATTCAGCTGAGTGTCTTATGAGACAACCATTGAGCCTACAAAATATAAGCCAGATGACACTTTCAGGATGTTCAAAATTAAAGTCACTATTCAGTGTATCCATTGCCACAACCATCATGTTGGAGGAGCTGGAGATCAATGACTGTGAAGAATTGAAGCACATTATAACAAATGAGGCAAAGGATGATGATACCCATCTCAACTGCACCTCCATCTTCCCAAAACTACAGAGCCTCGATGTTTTGAATTGCAATAAATTGGAATTTATATTTCCATCCACTCTTTCCGGAGGTCTTCAAAAATTGAAATCTATAAATATTTATAGAGCTCATGAGCTGAAATATGTTTTTGGAAAATACAATGAAGAAGAGTGTCTATCAAATGAGCATGAAAATAATGAGCCTCACATTCATCTTCCAGCATTGGAATCACTATACCTCTTCGGAGTACCAAACATGATGAGCATTAGTATCAAGAAACATCAACCGGAATGCCCATCTCTACAGATTGTGAAAGCACCAAAGGTACATACCTATTTTTAATTTATTATTTAATCAGGTCTCAATCTTGCTCTGTTTTCTTGCATGAAAACATTTTTTCCCATTTACTCTCTTTTAAAATTTTAACTTTAAACTTTTATGCATAACTATTATGGGTCATGCGGCTTTCAGTTTATGTCAAAATGCAATTTATCAATATTTTTATGTATCTTGTATAAGGATTATTTTATACTCGTAGAAGACAAACACGTATGACTTCCGTCTTGGTTGTGTATAGTAATTCTGTTCATTTTCAATTAGTTCTTTTTTCAATTATTTTAGCTGGCACCTAACAGGAATCGAACTAAAACAATTTGATCTTTAAAATGCTCATATTCCTAATTTAATATTCATTATTTTTGAATATTTATGTTTATTCGATGCATATTCATATACCTACATTTCATATTCTCACTTTAAAATTTGACAGCTATTTTTGTATCTCAGAATTTCGGATAAACTGAAGTAATACGTTTAATCACACTAAACTTAATGTCAATTTGTCTAACATTAATCTTTTTATTGCTGTAAAAATTAAAGACAAAAATAAATAGTCACACACATGCACGAATACTGATAATAGGTAGTATATCATTGACATGAGCAGGAATTTTGGTTAATTCAATATTTTATTATTATTATTATTATTTTATTTTTCTATTATTTGACTGACTAGTATCAGGGGCACGGAAGTTATTGGTTGAATACCTTATAAATCACACCTTAAAATGCCTAGTGTTATAATATCTGATGCTTGACACATTTATCTTGTATTTCATGTACGTTATCGCCCATTAATTACTTCGATGTTTTTAATCAGATTGTTGTTGAGAAATAGGATTAGATGATTGTAGAAAGTGATTAGTTATATAATTAAGTTGAATCTAAAAGAAGTGATTGGTTGTAGGAATCATGTGCATTAAGTGAAAGGATTGAAACATTTCATTCAGCTGAGTGTTTTATGAGACAACCATTGAGCCTACAAAATATAAGGGAGATGAAGCTTGATGGATGTTCAAAATTAAAGTCACTATTCAGTGTATCCATTGCCACAACCATCATGTTGGAGAAGCTGCATGTCAAAGACTGTGAAGAACTGAAGCACATTATAAAAAATGAGGCAGAGGATGATGATGTCCATCTCAACTGCACCTCCATCTTCCCAAAACTACAGAGCCTCCAAGTCTGGGGTTGCAACAAATTGGAATTTATATTTCCATCCACTCTTTCTGGAGGTCTTCAAGAATTAAAATCTATATTTATTTGGGGAGCTCATGAGCTGAAATATGTTTTTGGAAAGTACAATGAAGAAGAGTGTCTATCAAATGAGCATGAAAATAATGAGTCTCACATTCATCTTCCTGCATTGGAATCACTATTCCTCCGTGATGTACCAAATATGATGAGCATTGGTGTCAAAAAACATCAACCAGAGTGCCCATCTCTACAGATTGTGGAAGCACCAAAGGTACGTACCTATTTTTAATTTATTATTTAATCAGGTCTCAATCTTGCTCTGTTTTCTTGCATGAAAACATTTTTTTCCATTTACTCTCTTTTAAAATTTTAACTTTAAACTTCTATGTATAACTATTATGGGTCATGCGGCTTTCAGTTTATGTGAAAATGCAATTTATCAATATTTTTATGCATCTTGTATAAGGATTATTTTATGACTTCCGTCTTGATTGAATATAATAATTCTGTTCATTTTCAATTAGTTTTTTTTTGAATTATTTTAGCTGGTACCTAACAGGAATCGAACTAAAACAATTTGATTTTTAAAATGCTCACACTCCTAATTTAATATTCATTATTTTTGAATAGTTGTATTTGTTTGATGTCTCCTTTTATGCCCCAAAATTACGGATAAACTGAGGCAGGGGAACCTCCTCTGCTCTTCTTTCAACTTTATCATCATTATATAAAAACTAACGTCTTCTTAAATATTATTGTAATCTTACTTAAAAAATACCTAAAGAAATTTAAACTATTAAATTTGATTTGAATAGTTCATAACTGTAGCGAAAAAAGTGAGAAAAATTATGCTGTATAACCATAGTCTACAAATTACAACTGAAAAATGATAAGATTAAATTTTGACAGTCTTAACTTATTTATATATTTTTATACAAAATTGTAATAATGTTCTTATAAAATGTTAAATCTCTACCAATTTCTTAATTTTATACTCACGTAATTACTCGATTTTCCTACAACTCTAATATTGATTAATAAGATAAGCCTTTAGATTACATATATTATCAGATATTATATATGGTGGGGTTACATGCACCCTAACCGTTTTTGAATGGCCAAAAAGAAATTCTATTGGTTTAAAATTTGATGTCTATTTTGTACCCTAACCGTTTTTGAATGGCCAAAAAGAAATTCTATTGGTTTAAAATTTGATGTCTATTTTGTACCTTAGAGTTTTAGATAAAGTGAGGTAATATATTAATTATTACACCAAATTTAATGTCAACTTCTCTAACTCTGATCTTTTTATTTCAGTTTAAATCAAAGTGCAGTTTATCAATAATTTTATTTTGTATAAAGATTATATGTAATAAATTACATATTGCTAACAAAATATTTAAACATTCTCAAAACAATGAAGACTTTCATATAATTTTTCTATGGAGACATGTACAATTAATTATGTCAAAGTGATTCGGCTTTACTTCTATAAAGATTTCAAATTTGAATTTAAAATATTTCCCAAAAATAATATAATCTGTTTGTGTTTTGTGGGTGAATGTGTATGTATTTCATAAGCACATGGAAGATGTGAGAAGTGAGGGAGTAAAGGAATCTGAAATACAAGAGATTGTTAACATCGAAACACCATTACTTACTCCAAGTATGGGCTTCCAACATGTTCTCAACTTCTGCAATCTGAAACAAATAACAATCTCCGAAAACCAGAAGTTCAAGATTTTGTTCTCTGTCTCTGCTTACAGAAACCTATCACAGTTGTCTCAATTACGAGTATGGAATTGTGAGGAATTAGTTAATGTGGTTGAAGATGATTCTAATAATAATCATCATGACATGAACTATAGCTCCATTTTCCCAAAACTAGAGGATCTAAGTATCGGCGATTGCAACAAGCTGGAGTTTATATTTCCTCTGTCTCTTTTTGGTACTCTTCAAAAATTAAAATCTTTGAGGATCAAGAGAGTTGCTGAGTTGAAATACATTTTTGGGAAATGTGATGATGGACATCATTTATCAAATGAGAATGAAAGCGATGAGCTTAATATTCATCTCCCTGCTTTGGAAAAACTATCACTTAGATATGTACCGAAGTTAATCAACATTACTGGGGCAAAAAAATATCACCTCAGTTTTCCGTCACTACAAAGATTTAAATTGGGGGGTCTTCAAGAGTTCAATGGAAGATCTTTTCCAGATTTGGTGGCTTATTTACGAGGAATACAATTGAATGTGAAAGCTCCAAAGGTAACACATTTGACTTCTTGTTCTATGATGTGCATATTGCTATGTTTATTTGGATTGCTTAGCATTTAAACTTGAACATCAAGAACATATTTTCATGCTTAAAAAATTTTCTGAAACAACTAAATTTTCATACATAAAAATTTATAATTTACTTTTCATTTATAAAAATTTTCTTTTCATCAATATATATGTGCGCACACGCACCTTTAATCAAAATCTTATAGAAGATGTTAACTTAAAAAAACAATGAACTTAAAAATTTAAAGATTTCTGCTAAATAGTTTGAAGCAAAGCTGCTCCATATATATTACTTTGTTTATTTTACCTTTTCTTCTTGGATATTTTCTTCTCATCACAGCAGAATCGCTTAGCATTTAAACTAGAACATCAATAACACATTTTTCATGCATAAAAACTTTTCATGTCAAGACATGAAATTAATGAATTTTTTTTGGCCAAAAAAATTACTGAATTTTGATTCATAGAAATTAACAATTTAGTTTTCATTTATTAAAAAAAAATTGCTTTTTTTCATCAGATTTTTACACAAGATGTTAACTGAAAAAAGCAATGACCTTAAAAATTTAAAAATTTTCTAATAGTTTGGAAGAAACCGGCACCATATATAAGTTTATCTATAGAAGAAATTAACTACGGATTAATTAGCTTCTCATGTATATATACATTTTATGATTTCAAGTTGATATAATTAGGTATAATCAATATGTATGTGTCTTTAACTTGTAAGCATTCCAGGCATCAATAAATAAAGTTTCTCTTTATATAACTCAATGCATATTGAGACATCTATACATTAATAACAGTATTGGGATTTTTCACAATTTGTTAATGTGGTAATTTGAATTCATGCTGAAATTTTGAGTTGATTTATTTTTATTAGGACCTGATGAAAATTATCAAGGATATGCAGAAGCTGACAACTCTTGACGTAAGAGACTCCAAAATAGAAGAGGTTCTTAATTTGGAAGGAGTGGAAATTGAAGGTCCATTCATGACATTAAGCATTGCAAGGATGCGGCTGGAAAATCTATGTGAGTTGAGGCATATATTCAGGAGACCCAAATATATTTTGAGCCTCCCCAATCTTCAAGAACTAAACATCATAGCATGTAAAAAGCTAACAGTAATATTCTGTGTCTCAATAGTGAGAAACCTCCCACAATTATCCTATTTAAGTATACGAGAATGTGACGAATTAGTTGACATCATTGAAGAGAGTGATGGGGATCATTTGCATCAACTTTATTTCCCAAAGTTAAAGGGAATTGACATCAAGTGTTGTAATAGCTTGAAATTCCTCTTCTCTATCTCAACATGTGGGATGTTTCCAAAGTTGGTGGTCTTGCAAATAGAAGAAGCCTCTGAGCTTGAGCAAATATTTATGTGCAAACAAGATAATATGCAGAAGATGGCAAAAATGGGAGAATTTTTTCCCAAATTGTCAATTGTAACACTTAGAAAACTTCCAAGGCTTATTTCAATTTGTAAGGGGATTGATTTTAAGGATCTGCAACATTGCAGGGTGGAAGATTGTCAAAAATATCCAGGTATAAATTCAGGAAAAATCTTTTAATAATTGCCAGCTATTTTTATGAATACTAATATTAGATTGAAAATTCTATTGCAGAAACTGGTCAAATGACAAAAGAACCTAAAAATGGGGATTCAGAAAATCAATCAACATCAAGTGTTTTGCCAGAAGTTGGAGAGGTATTTATATTAGACCAATCATCAAAATAAAAAAAATATTTAGTTTTTTGCTATTTTCTTTTACTAGTGATGAATTTAATTTGTTCTTAAATTTGATTACCACAACTAACTTACTTATTAATTATGGTATTGGTTAGAGCTCGGAGGAAGCAATGAAGACAAGTGTTGAAGAAGTTGCATCATCAATGGTACATCGCCATCTCTTTCTACGCTCACATGAGCATAGTTTCTCCACGCCAAATTTTAAAACAAAAGGCATCAAACAGAACATAGGAATATGCTTAGATGACTACAGCTTTCTTTGTTCTTTCCCTAATTATTAGTCACTATCTATTGCTAACAACTAATACATCTATAAAGCTACAACAATAACTTTGCCAAACCCCTAAAGAGATTTAAAGTTAGCAAAGAGTTTTGGGGAAACATTAGAAATATCAGAATATTTTTTTAAACAATCATATTTATTATGCGCACATGAAAAAAGATGAGAAGCCAATGCACAAATAAACTTGCTTCAACATTATTAACTTAAAAAGAAGTTTGTCGCCTGTGTTAAGACCAATTCTTTTGTGAATATTACCAATGGCAACATTTTTATAAAGGTCAACATGTTTATCTAATTTTGTTGAACAAAATTTGAAAGAAATGATAATAAACTTCAAAGTCATTAGTGACTACAACTTCAGAGTCATCCTTTGATATTAGGGTAGAAACCATGTAATCGAACTCTATATCTATTATTGACCAAAAAAAAAAACCCTGAAACAATCATTTCTTAATATCTTTCATCATGCGGCCAAAGTAAAGAATTATCTACACACGCAAAAAATGAAACTGAAAATTATTTTCTTTTTTTGGCCTTTCTTTTTAGATTACTCAGAGTATCAAAGAGATAACAGAATCAAGTCTTCAAGAGAATTATGCAACAGAGGATGCCATGATAGCAATTCTATCAACTAATTCAAATTCAAGGAAGCAATCCACTATACCATTTGTCAACTCTAGAAATGATTCTGTAAAAGTAAGTCCATTGCCCTTTTCTAATACAGCAACATTTGAACTACACGTGATTTTTCCCAATTCAATTTCATCATTAATGATACGAACAAGTTGTATCTAAATCCTAAATGCTTCAAATAGGAGTCGGAGGATGAACGGTCAACATGTGAAGCAACTTCATTGGGCCAACAACAGGATCTTGGACAAACAAAAATATCCATTAATGATGATGTGAGTTATAATTGATTGTATCTGGGTGGTAATTTTGAAATTGTGTTATTATTAAAAGCTATGGTTGCTCACTACTCTTTCGTGCATTACAAAGTATTGATGTTGTAGTAAGAGAAAGAGCTCAAGAAAGGCCTACCTCTAAGGATGTTATATTAGAAACTCTGCTCGCTGATTTAGCACCGAGAAATTTATCAGCAGCATTAATCACCACTCTACAAGAGGAGTTTCCATTGGTTATTGATTATTGTGTTATGTCATGTTTTTTAATTTAAGAATACGCCAGTTGGCTAAAAGAAACTGTATCTTTTTCCTTTTTTTCCCCTCACTGCTTGTTTTAGGATTTGACAAAGAAAGACTCTGGAAGAGGAACAGTCATGACAAACCAGCAAGCACGCACAGAAAAGACATCTGCTGTATGCTCGAACTCTTTGCAAAATATATAGAAGCTAGAACCCAATGATTATAAAGCGAGATTATAATTAAAGGGCCTAACTAAGACTTGTATATCTATTGGTACTTTTGTAGAGTGTTGAAAGCTTTCAAGAGAAGACTACAACAATGGAAGCTAAAATAGATACTTCCTCCTTTTATTCACATGGAAAGGCCTCACAATCAGGTCCATCTATGATGGTAAGTTCAGTATATAACGATGCAGAACTTTGGAGTTTATATACTTGGAAACGCAGGACCGATGAAAATAACTTCTTTATGTTTTCTAGGTTGCTGGTGTGGAAGAATGTGTGAAACACGACCTTCAAAAGCATGATTCATCAAATGAAGACGAGGTAGCAATTCAATCATCGAATCTAGAGTTAATGAAGCGACCAAGAGGATCATCGCATATGCTTTTTGAAAAAGAATCTTCACAGGTAACTACATTGTCCTTAATTATATAGGAATAGAAGTTTGGTAGATTGTTTTGTTTTTGTGTATCCATAACTATAGGATCTAAGGGAGGAAAACAATTATATCATTGATCTTGTCTCCGGCTACTTTTCTGAACCAATATAGATATGATGCTAGGAAAAAATAATCAGTGAATAAATAGATAAATTATATGACATTAATTAATGTAACATTATAAATCAAATTTTATCTTTTCACCAGCTTATAATACGGAAGAAAGTCGTTAGACTAATTTTTCATTTTGTGCCGCGCAGACTGCTAAAGAAACGAGAGGCATAAATGTTCCTATGAAGAACAACACAAGCCTTCCTGATGGTATTCCCTCTTCCGGTCATCGTAAGGATCTTTGTTTTTGTGATGATTTCAGATCCTCCTTCTGTCATGTGCTGACTTTCTTGGCCATATACTTGTCAGAATCACAAACTGGTATTACTGATTCTTCTTCTCCACCAATACTAGAGATTGGTGAAATCTTACAACTGGTGGCGTTAAAAGACGATGAACCAGCTTTACTGGCCAAAGCACTTGAGCAATATCCTGAACTAAAGCTCTCTCGTGGACAACGTACACACCAAGTAATAGCTTTCTCCTACAGAGTGTTGACTAATATTTTGGTGATGCTGGTGACCAAGACACCTCGTACCATTACAACCTCAGACAAGTTGACCTTGGAGGAAAACTTGGGTACTGCAACATTTTTAGGCTTCGACAAAGGATGGATTGAATCAGTTCGAGACAAAGTTTTTGGCAAGGACATGTTTGATGTCACGAAGGTGGAAGAAGAAATGCAGAAAATGAAGGAAGAACTGGAGGCACGTGACATTATGTTGGAGCAAGTTCGAAAGCGGAGAGTAGAAATCGAACAGCAAATTGCTGGGGATTGGACTGTTGGAGATGGTGCAGAGTGAGTCAGAAGCAATGGATTCTCAGTTGTGGGGTCTGTTGGATGATCGCAAGAAACTAATAGAGAGGATGATGGAGTTTGGAGGAATAATAAGTGCCCAGGACAGAACTTTTGGAATTTAGCTGCTTTGTCATTTCATGTTTGTTTAAAGAAAGACTGAAAAGCAGGGAACCATCAGCTGTACTATGACCAACATTTTCCCAAGTTCAGCTAAATGATGGGGCCTCAGAATTTTAAACACTCATGATGTATGGATAAATTTGGCCTTATATTTAATTTGTTGGGTGATTGGTCTCTGACTGTTATTGTAGTATGATTATTCTGTGATTTACATTCCTCTGTTTGCTTGGCACTATTCATTGGAACTTCTGGATACGACGAATGTCTTAGCATTCATACATTCAAATTAAAAAAAAAATGATAACATAGGAATTCTAGAAGCCATGAGCGGCTGTTTTACGCTCTGTCATTGCTCTTTTCTTCCTGCATTTTTAGATAAGAAATTTATTCTTATTCTTTGATTGTTTATATATTTGATTACTTTAATTTCTGACTTGTGCCTTTTTCAAAGGTTATTCTTCTTTACTTGTTAGCAATTCCTTTTTAATTTCTTGAATATTTTCAGATATTTTCTTGATTGTTTATTCATGACAGTTTCTAAACTTATTAGTACAAAATTCTATCGGAGTGTGAAACGGTTCGAGTCTTATTTTAATGCTCAGTTTGAAAGTAACTCATGAGGATACCGCACTTGTTTTGGCTAGACAATGCTTTGATGTGGTGGCTCTTAGTATTACATCTCATCGTAATTAATTAATTTAAGATTTATTTTAGTGACCGGTTCTTTTCTGCACTGCATATCATGCTATGAAATGATTCCGTGAACACAATTATATTTATTTACTTAAAATTATTTAAATAATTACAATTTAATTATGGAATAATTTTTTATTGTAAAAAATTTGATTGGTAGGCTAAATACTAGTAAATATCAAAACGATAGAGTGGGAGAAGGCCAAGAACTGATTATTTGGTGAATGTCCAACCAATCTATGTGTTGAGAAATGGAAATGGCAAGGACGCATCACGCATGTGTCACTATGAAGTAATAATTAAAACCCATCACAATGATGAGTATGGAGTGCTTGTCACAATTTAGACTATCCAAATTGATTTTAGATGATTCAAATTGAATTTAAAATTTTTTATATATTTTAATCAACTTTGGTTTTACTAGATACAGAATCTAAAATAAATATAATATCATAACTAACATGTCTTCAAAAAATAAATTTATCTTTGAAAAAATTGTGTATTAAAAATTTTAAATTTGAACCATTCATATCATATTTTGGATGATTTAGATTGTATTACAGTAATGAGCACGTAATGCGCATCATTGAATGAAGACCCATCCATAGTACAGCCTTTTTTAGACAGAGATTTAAAAAATGAGGCGGTTGCATGTTTATAAATATTGGTAAACTTGTTAGACCAGTCACATATATATAAGGTCCAAAAGGGTGCAAGCCGTCTAGAAATTAATAAAAAAGTTTTTAAAAAATTATTTTGAATATATTTCTAAACGTCTTATTAAAACAGGCCTAGAAAACCATTAAAAATAATTTTTGAACTTCTTTTAAATCTTTTAAACCGCTTTTAGGGAGGTAGGATACAAAAAAATTTTAAAACCTAAATTCCCCTGTTTGCATCCGCCTTCCTCTTTGCGTATTCCCTTTATTCATCGTTTTGTCTCTCTTCCACTAGAAATTTATAGATAGGATATAGTTTTGTTGTTTGGTTTTATAGATATAATAATTCTATTGGAAATTTTAACAAAAGGAATAAATGGATATTGGTTGGAAGATAACATGGGAAAGATCACCTTGATTATCAGCGAAGCACATGATTAATACTAGTATATTATAATTTCCACGGCATGGTATTCTTATTAAATTTTACTGCTCATAGCATTTGGCTCAAAAAGCCACACTAAATAATCGTTCTTCTTATTCTTCTTGTGTTCCTCGGGAAAAAAAAATCATCATTAACTTTTCAGAAAATCATAAATAAATTTGTTTTTTTCCCCCCCTTTAGCTAAATGAATGTTAAGATCTGCATCCTCGTATATGTGCTTCCTTAAAAGGCATCCTTTTACATATTAAAGAAGTCTGTATGCCTTTAACCAGCTATAACATCTCTTCTGCTGGTCGAGAAAAAAAAAAAAAAAAGGCTATAACATCTCTTCTAATAGTTGATTTTCTTACTTCGGAAAAGAGGGAAAAAAAAAAGAAAACTACATTGGCTAGAAGAGTTCGAAAGACGTATTTTTATTTTTAAATTTTTTTATGTGGAATAATATAATTTTTAAATCTAAATTTTGTTTTCAACTATTCATTTAGTTCCTATATTTTGACCTTGTAAAAATACCAGAGCTCTGCTGTTAAGATTAAGATCATCCCTTTTTTGCAAAGACAAAAAAAAAACTACATTAAAAGAAAAATAAATAAGATAATTCTGTTTGACTGTTTGTATTGATCCTGAAAAATGAAGAGAACGAAATAATAAGTAATGTAATTATCACAAAGATTTAATAAATAATCATTTCCTTCACAATTAATATTTTAATCAATTATTGTAGATATGCATCAAGTGAAGGGTGGCCTAGTGGAGTTTGTGAAGGTTGCTTACTTCTGAATTAATGCTGGGTCCAAATTTGACATCAGTCTTCACATATTCTCCCGCTCAAACTATGGTATTGTTGGCAATCCTGAAAGTACAAGATTGCATTTCCTTGAAGCAGATAATAAAAGACGAGGGGGGAAATGAAATCACTCAACTGGGGCCTATTTTCCCAAAATTGAAAAAGCCTCCGTCCAGGGACGTCCGCGTTTGGAATTCATCACAGCAGCATCTTTTCGTGGTGGCCTTCCACAATTAAGCATCATATCTGATTTTGATTCAAAAGTAGCGACTCAGCAAAGTGCTGGCAAGTCTAGGTAGCAGGTAACGCTAACATGTCATAATTTGAGGTAGATATGTGAGGATCACAAACGACTTCGATCACAACCTTCAAAGAGTGGAAATATATAAATGTGGAGAGTGAAAATGCATTTTCTCAGTTCGGATGATGACATACATATCGACATCGCGTGAATTAATCATAGAAGACAGTTCTCAGCTGGAGCAAAGCATTGAGCATGAGTATTAAGATGGCCAGTACTCAGGTACACTTAAACAAAAACATATATGCATACATAAATGCTTGATTAATATAGAGATATTATTTTGTGCAGATCTGATACAATAGAATCTATGGGTGACAACTTTCAGGGCCATTTGTTGTTTCGAAATTAATATACTGATGAGAATCTTTCTATTTTAGTGATTAGTATAAATGAGATCAGCACCTACATGTAAGTAACCTTATCAATTTTGAGGAAAGCATCTGCATCTGTCAGAAGTGATTAAAGTTAATGTTTCGAAATATACTTTTGTTCCTCCAATTTTAAAAGTATTGCCGTCAATATCTGAACCTAAAACCTTTTGTAGTACTTGTGATTTTTCCAAGGGTTATTCTTCTTTACTGTTTAGCAATTCCTTTTTAATTTCTTGATTGTTTATATTTAGCGTACTGTAATGAATATTTAAGAAGAATATTTTCAGATTTATTCATGAAATTTTCTAAACTTGTTAGTACACAATTTTATTGGAGTATGAAACGGCTCAGGTCCTATTTTAAAGATATGAATACAAATACTTTTTCTGACCTGGTTGTACTTTGGTGTTTCGTAGACTTTGTTACTTTTAAATGATATGAAAACAAATATTTCTGGCCAAAAAAAAAAAAAAGAAACAAACAAACAAAAAAACAGTAACTTCACCAAGCCCTTCAAAATTATTAGTCATTATTCATTACTGTCAGAATTGAGAAGGGCATTGTCACGGGTAAGTTTATTGATTGTTTGACAATTTTCAATAAGACCACAAGTTTATTTTAAACTTATAGTATGCTCAGTACGTCTTCTAATACCAATACCGACACGTGTAAACCACGTATATGGTATCAACCTTATACATACATGACAGAATCACAAACTGGTGCTGCTGGTTCTTCTTCCGCAATATTACAGATTGGAGAACTCGTGGTGTTAAAAGATGACGAACCAGCTTTACTAGCCAAAGCACCTGAGCTATCTCCTCAACTAAAGCTGTCTCATGGACAACGTACCCGCTCAGTAATAGCTTTCTCCTACAGAGGGCTTATTGATATTCTGGTGATGTTGGCTACCAAGACACCTCGTACCATTACAACCTTAAACAAATAGGCCTTAGAGGAAAACTTGGGTACTGCAACATTTAGGATTCGACAAAGGATGGATTGATTCAGCTCGAGACAAAGCTTTTGGCAATGACATGCTTGATGTCACGAAGGCGGAAGAAAAAACTCATGAGATGAAGAAAGAAGTGCAGAGACGTGACATTATGTTGGAGCAAGTTCGAAAGCAGAGAATCGAATTCAAACAGTGGGTTGCTAGGGCCATTGGACGATTGGAGATGGTGCAGAGTGAGTCTGAAGCAATCGATTCTCAGTTGTCGGGTCTGTTGGAAGATCGCAAGAAACTAATAGAGAAGATGATGCAGTTTGGAGGAATAATAAGTGCCCAGGACAGAGCTTTTGGAATTTAGCTGTGTTTCATTTGTGCTTTGTTATTTCATGTTTGACTCAAAAAGGTCTGAAAAGTAGCGGACCATAAGCTGTACTATGACCAACATTTTCCCAAGTTCAACTAAATAATGGGACTTCAGAATTTTAAGCACTCATGATGTACGGATAAATTTGGCCTTATATTTAATTTGTTGGATGATTACTGTCTGACTGTTATTATTCTGTGATTTGCATTCCTATGTTTGTTTGACCCCTTTTATTGGAACTTCTCATGCATGAATGGCTTAGCATTCATGCATTAAAAATTAAAAAAAAATACTTTCATTCATAAAATT